CCTTGATCATGCAAGCAATCCAAAACTATTAAAAATAGACTGTTTTTTTCCTTCCCTTTCTTAAAACTTGTGAATACATTAAAATAAACCACAGGTGGCGATGGTTTGCTAGAGATACAAAGCACATAATGGCTGGGAAAAGAAACTTCCGCTGCTGAATGCTCCCCGCCACCACCTGTCATTCAGAAATGTGTAAGAAACCACAGCTACATGGACCTATGTTCCCACTCTATTCATGTTGCTGATAGTAGGTCAGATGTCTACACTATTTGGCTGTGAATTCACTGCCTAGGGTTTAGCACAAGTAGAGGCTGAATTATTTCATTTTAAAATGTTACAATAATCACCAGTGCTGCTAATGCTATTTAATTTTAAATGTGATACTTTGTCATTTTTTTCCTTTCGTGTACTGTAGATTATACTTATTATGATCTGCATGTGATTTGTAGGATGGAATACTGATGGAAGACTTCAAGCTCCAGTCTGTTTTTCAAACAGGATAGGGGAAGCTAGTTCTATCATTCCTCCCAACCTCCACCCCCATACACTCTCTATCTCCCCTTTCTGTCTTTTAATTAGGGCATAAAATGAATCTGTAATATGAAATTGCCCAGAAAAGGGACTTCTGTTTGTGACATGAGGCTAAATCTAACCAGATCCATTGGTGAATTGTGACAGATGGAGGGACTGTGAGACAGAAGGCAAGCACTAATCACACACAAAATGACCGGCTTGCCTCAACATGTTCCATGGATTCCAGCAAACTTTACACCCTAATCCATTTTTAGAACAAAAAACATCTGGGCCATAAATCCTCTAATCTGCCAAAACACGCTATTAAATCCCATGATTTGTTGAAAAACACTAAGATTAAAGAAAGGAAATATAAAATGGCTAACTGCCGTGTTAGGAAAGTGTTATTAATACTCTTTCTTTGTCTCAATTATGAATGTTCTGTTCCTAAAGAGCCTTGTCTAATCATGTCAGATTACACATCCTTGTTGTATTGCTAGACTCTTCTATCTGATCCACTGATTGCCAAAAAACGTAGAACATTGTCTTGCTGCTTAAAACATTTCAGTGGAAGAAGCTGATGTCAGATTAGTTCACTGCTGTTCTCCCCCCTCGTCCCTTAAATTATAACCAAATGAACCTGGCATTCTGGGCTCCTTTGAAAGATATTTATTGAATTGTGCTCCCTCGCACCCAAACTTGACAGAAACTTTTGCTTTCAATTCTCCAATTAGGTATCTGAAAACATTGGGAATTTTAATTTGATCCACATAACTTATTTTTACCAAATGACCTAGCTCAGTGTTTTCAGAGTAATGACAGCTTTTTCAGTGCTAGGAAGGATGTAATCTGCACCTCCTATATTGCATCATACTAGGAGTGGGGGTGGGGAGAGAGGAGTGAGATTGGTCCCTCTCTTAACAAGTTGCTTGGTTCTTTCCTCACCTCACAGCTGTTATTGACCAAGTTTGCATTTGGTCAAAATAAATTAAAGTGCAAACAAAAAAAAACCAAGTGACATTTAAAAATAGCGGTGCTTTGGAGAATGGGAGGTATAATAGTTATAATCTGTATTATAGCTGAATTTGCCTCAGAACTGGAATTCATGTCCTTTCCCTAGACCATTTGGGTTTTTTCCTGAGTACCACTATCTTTGAGAAAGTTTGGCATGCGTCAGTGAATAAAAGCAAGCCCTTCTTAGGTGTTTTCAATAGCTGCCAATATGCTCATATGCTGAGAAAAGATTAATATAGAGGCAAACCAAATGGAAATTCTTTTTGTTTAGGATACACAGTGAATTATTGACAGAGATACACTAAATGCACTTTGTCTGCAACATCTAGATATAGTTTGACAATCCCTGTAACTGTGGGGAGGGAGAAGGGTGACTTATTTTTGTTTTTAACAGGTAGGCATATGCCTGCTTCAGAAAAGAAATGCCTGGAGAAATATTTGGGAAAAAATTGTGGAAAATGTATGATAAAACAATAGATTTTAAGCAGCCAACAACTTTTTCATATTTCTGTCTTGGACAGTTTAACTGTTTTGGCTCAAGATAAATGTGGAAGAGAGCAGAAAGGGAGCAGTGGATCTAGGCACCAAAGGATAGGGCAGCAAAAGTCACAGGTGTTGTCCTGTTTTTTTTTCAGGAGTCATGAAACCTGTGACTCTTATAACCCCCACGACAAAACAAAAGTGCTAGATACAATATATACAACCATTACCTAATAGGAAAATATTACTTAGTTGACAATTTTGCCTATTACTGTTTAGCAAGCCAGTTCAAAATTAGAATAATATAGTGGTTGTATGTGAAACCATGACATATGTGATTCCTCTAGTTCAGTGATGGGCAATATATGCTGGGACCCTCCGGCACAGAGCAACTCATTCCGCTTTAAGCACCTGGCTGCTCTCTATGGCACTTTGCTCCGGGGGGGAGGGGAGGCTTTGCGCACTGTCCCTGCCCCCAGCAAAATCTCTCAGCTCACATTGGCCAGTTTCCAGCTAACAGTAGCTAAAAGATTTTGCTGGGGTGTGGAGACAGCACATGAAGCCTTCCCCTCCCCTCTGCAATCCTCCCCCCTCCCTCCCCACAGCCCGGAGCAGAGAGGCACATGAAGAGAGCAGCCAACCGTTTTGAGCAGCCTGGGGTTGCAGCAGGCAAGCAGCCTGCCTCAGGGTCCTGCAGGGTTGCTGGCTGGGAGCTCCCTACATAAGCACCTCCCAGGCAAAGCCTGCCTCTGGCACCCCACCCCCTCCTGTACTCCAACTCCCTGCCCTCGGTCACCAACCCCTCCTGCCCCAGGTTACCACCCAAACCTTCTGTACCCCCTTTTCCCTCTGCCCCCAGGTCACAACTCCCTCCCAGACCTTGCACCCGCAAGAAAACACCTCTCCCTCCCCCCACCCGGAGCCCTTAAAGGGGGAGATTCTGGCCAGAATCCTCTCCTGCACCCATTCCTCTTCCCGAGCACTGCATTCCAAGCCCCTACCTAGATCACAATCCCTTCCTTCACCCAAACTCCCAAACCAAAGGACCACACACCATGGCTACGTTTAGACTAGCATGATTTTCCACAAATGCTTTTAACTGAAAAGTTTTTCCATTAAAAGCATTTGCGGAAAAGAGCGTCTAGATTAGCACGGACGATTTTGCGCAAAAGCACTTTTTGCGGAAAAGTGTCCGTGCCAATCTAGACACGGTTTTGCGCAAGAAAGCCCCGATCACCATTTTCACCATCAGGGCTTTTTTGCGCAAAACAGTCCTGAGCTGTCTACACTGGGCCTTACATTTGCGCAAGAGGGCTTTTTCCCGAATGGGAGCATCATAGTATTTGCGGAAGAACACTGAGAATCTTACATCAGATCGTCAGTGTTCTTGCACAAATTCAAGCGGCCAGTGTAGACAGCAGGCAAGTTTTTCTGCAAAAGTGATTGCTTTTGCGGAAAAACTTGCCAGTCTAGACGCAGTTCGTATGTGCCACTTCATATCAGAAATAATGTTGAGCATGCAGCTGAAGAAGATGCTTGTTCCCATTGGCCACATACAACTGAACAATATTGTGAGCACAGTAAAAACAGTCTGGAGGGTGGATTTTGAAAGATGACTGCAGAGTAAATTTAGTGGTGGGGAAAGGTGCCAGACTATTTGAATTTCAGGACAGTGAGCTTAAGCCCACTTAGATCAGAAGGCCCACCCTCTTATGGGCAGTCATGGGGATCAAAGTCCTCTTTTTATATCCAGAGATTAGAGACAGCATGGTCAATGGCCTTGCAAGGTTCCCAACCAGTGTGCCCTCTTTTGCTGGGGGTTTTACTAAGATCAACAACTCATTTTGTTAAGGTCAGCAAAGACACTATACTTTTGCTTTTGCATACTACAGCTGTGGTTGGCTGTGAACTAGTTACCTAGCAGTAAAAGTCTCCACAAACCATTACCAACCCTCTGAATCATCTAGTCCTCCATAAAAGACAGATTTTTGATAGGAGCAGCCTGTGTCTGTCCAGTTCTTGGGCCTCATTTAATGACAGCTTATCTTATGCAGTACACACAATGATACTGTTCAGCTAGCAACCTCAAAAAGTCACTTTCTGTATTTGTAGCTAGGAGATATAAAGCAGTGAACTCTATGTCATTAACAATAACTTAAGTATGTTATCTTTTGCTCCGCCGTTTTCCATGGTTTATTAATGGTATAACACATTAATTCTTCTTACAAGAGTGACCTTTAAAGCTCCATTCATCCTCGCAGCTTTTATCCAATTACATTATCACTCATTACAGGTACAGTGTTTCAAAATCTGCATTTGGTTAAAAGGAGAAAAGTAAATTGTAGGGATCTCAAATCTACGCAAAATTCCAGGGGTGGAGGAGGAGGAGTACAAGAGATGGTCTACCACTGAGATGCAGGTCAGATTATTACCCCTATGCTTCAAGCAGCTGTTCACTCTCTTCAAGAAAAAGGGTTTAAAGTGAAAAAAATGAAAACTCAGCCTATGGTGCACAGAGAGCAGCAGGGCCAAACAGATTAAAGATGCAAATACATTACTAACCTAGCAAGTTAAATAGTGTAGTTCTAATAAGAATAATGCATAATAAGTTATGAATTAACAATGGGGTATTTATGAAACATTTATGCGGTTTTATAGAATGTCATACCAGATAAAGTAATTTCCTTTTTAGCCTGGCCATAGAAATATGTTCTCTATTTGGTGCATGTAATCATATTTCCCATCAGTCTGAGAAGGGTACTGTAAAATCCACACTTATGCCCAAAGTTTAAAATCCATATAAGTGTGGGTCTTACTGGTGTATGCACAGCCAGTATATGATCCACAGTGCATTTGGGTGGAGTACATGTCCATTCGCAGGGAAACAGAATGGATGTCTCGAACAGCTTCAGCGCATTGCAATGGAAAAATCATAGGATCAGCCTATGCTCCATTCAGTCCGATATCCAAAATTACCCAGCACTGTTTCAGAGGAAGGTGCAAGAAACCCCACAATAAGCAACTGTAGAATATTCTGCCCCCCTTCCACATGATGGTCTAAACTAATCCCCAATAATGATTAATTTATACCTTGAAATCACAATTCAACTTACAGTAGAATCGTAAGAGTTACAAACACCATGGGAATGGAGGTTGTTTATAACTCTGAACAAAACATGATGGTTCTTTGAAAAGTTTACAATGGAACACTGTCAGAGTAATGAACATGACTTAATGCAACTTTGAAATAATACGGTGCAGAAGAAAATTGCTGCTTTCAATTTATGTTTTAGTACTTTATGTTACACTACAATACCGTATTAATTTGCTCTCCCTTTGGTCTGTGAGGTGATTGTGTACTTCTGGTTCCAAATGAGGTGTGCAGTTGATTGGTCAGTTCATAACTCTGGTGTTCATAACTCAGACGATCTACTGTATATTGGATCACTTTGTACAGTGAGTTGGAAAAGTTTAGAATTAAAATGGATGTGTCTGCATGTTATTTACACATGTAAATATACACATACAGACATGGCATCCATGTGCGTGCACACTGTCCCACCCTTTTCATATAAAGCATTTGTGAAATATAAAGTGTGAATAATACCAGAACCATTTATTACTTAAATGGTCGCAAGGGAGGCAGTTTTAGGAGGGAGGGAGGAGGAGTAACATATATTACAGAACAACACTAAAAGCAGCTAGCCCAACTGTTTTCAAGATGCAATGTGAAGTATGTTTTGAAATGTACCTGGTGACTTTTTAGTTAGATATTAATACTATTCCTAGTAGATTAAGCTAAAATAATAACCCATGAAGCTTTTCAGTGGACTATGCATTAAACCTATAATTTTCTAAAGAATATGCAGACATGTAATTTCTACAGATTTTTTAAGTTTATTCATGAATTGTGTATGCTTTTAAATGACACTGGCAAATGTCTGAATCTCTGTAATGCAGTGGGAACCACAAAAATATCATAATTTATTATTTGTTATCATACAGAAGTCATATGAGGATCTTTGAATGAAACAGCCACTGGAACTTGGAGATCTGATAAAATTTCATTTTCACCAATTCAATAATGTGGAGAGAGTTAAGATCCTGATCATGCACTTCTGAGATCATGCAGAGCTTTTCCACTGACTTCAATGAATGCAAGATCAGGCCCCACCATCGATTTATCATATACCATTGTGTGGCTTGGCTGGCAAATGAGGATTTTCATGCTCACTCCATGCTACGTCAATAAAACCAAAAGAAAACAAACTTACCTATTGTGTTAACTCTGGCTGAAGGACTAGCTAATGTTGCCGGCACAGAGGATTTGAGTGAACTGGCCCCACTGTTTATTCTCAGAGTTGGCATATGAGGAGAGGTGGGTGATGTTGGAGATTTTCCCTCAGATGTCTTGGGTTTAGCTGAGAGGTTCAGTGGCTGGGCCACTTCATCCTATAATAAGTACAAGATAAAGCATGTGATAAAGATACTGCTGCTGCCATAGTTGTACCCAAACACAGACAGTCACGTTTATTCATGTGAAATCACAAATTAGCGATGCTAAAAATACACGAGACAACATTTCCTATGACACTGTCATGATATGTCAGCTGGGAATCAAAATGTGAATTGGAGAATTATCTCCCTGGAATTAGAGAACATTCTTTATTTGCACAACATGCATAAGACCCTCCCCCCCACCCCCATTTGAATCTACACAATACATAATTACATGATGCAAATGAGAGGACATTTACAATATTTTTTGTAAAATTTTAAAACTTGAGTAGAGGGCAAAAAATAAAAATTAATCACAGCTTTTGTCTAAAATTCAACGCTAACCCAAATTTACTTGTAGTTCTAGAATTTGGGTAAATGTGTGTGAGTGTATGTGGATTTTATATTTCTATTTTTGTTTTTCTCTGATTGTCCTGGTTTTCAAAAGTACCAAAGTATCACAAACAATCTATTTGGGTATTTTAAGTCAGAACCAGAAAGTCTACTTTTGTGCTAGGCTTTCATACTTTAGAACAACATTTTTGGATGTTTATAAGAAAGTTTAGAGGCTCACTAGTACTTACCATGATTTGTACACACTGAAAACATGAGCCAAGTTCATAAAGAGAGTACAACTACCATGAAAATCAACAGGAGTTATACTTGCTTTGTCCAGGAATGAATCTGGCATATATATAATGGCATGATAGGATAGCAGCAGGCACACAAATATGCAGAGAAGTATAATCTTATATATATAATGCTAAATTCAGTCCTGGACAAAGCAAGTATAACTCCTATTGATTTTCACTGGTAGTTTTACTCTCTTTATAAAACGGGTCCATGTTTAACTATTAGAGAACCTCTGAACTTTATTATGCCAGATTCTTATGCCACTTTCTGCGCAAGTGTGTCATAGAGAGAAAGAGTAGAGTGCTATAAATAATGCTGAACAAAACATTAAAAATAAAAAGTCATATAGTTATATGATTCAGTTTGACTCTAACAAAATACAAAGAAAGAGTCAGAGAAGCCCCTTTCGGTCCCTAAAGTGGAGATAAATATTAAACATTTTTAAAACTACGTTTTAATATTCAGAAACGGTACTTATGTTTTTGAACCGGAGGATGGTGAGTTTGATTCCTGCCCCCTCCACCTGCCCTGGCACCCTCTTGTAGGTAGGTACTTTGTGTGCCTGCTACTATCATATCATGCCAAAGCAGGATGTGTTAAAGGATAGGCTTCTTAATTCACAAGTTGTAGAGCGTTTAGTTCTGGAAGGAAATCTTTTAGTAATTAAAGTAATATTCAATACCATGATCACAATGTTGCATAGGCCCTATTACAGAAATAGCAGGGATGATTCGGATCTTTCTTCATAAACTTTACATTTGAGAAAGTCCATTTCTCATACAAAATTACTCCCGACTGATAGCAGTGAGCAATCAGTATCAGGGCCAAAATGTAGGATAGGTATATGTAGATCAAACTCCACTAGAATTTTTCCCTGTTACTGTTGGAGTATCTGCAGCTACTGCAATAATAATTCTGATCCAAAGAATGCAGGATGCTGCAGAGTAAGCAAGGAATTTTCTATTGGGCCATACTGCATACGGAAATATGCTTTATAAATAAGAATGTCTTCATCATCATGCAACCTACTTGTAATTCTGCAAAGCACTGTTATGCCACCTTTCAATTATCTCAAATAGGCAAGCTTCTGAGTTAAGTGTCTTTATTATTTTTGAATGTATTTGATTACTTTTATACTTTTGTAATCATCATAGTTAAAATGAATTAAGCAGAATATACAAAATGATCAGTGAAATAAAGGACAAAAATGTCATTTTTAAAACAGTTAAGTTTTCCTAGATACTCCCTGTGAAGAATAATAACGACTTAACTCACTGCCTTTCCATGACATTTAGCTCCTTAGGGGAAATTTTACTCTGTTCAATTGATATTTTTTGACATGTATAAATTTACAATGTTAAGAACCCATTCCACTTAAGACTAAGAAATACAAATCCAGTCCTAATGCTTGACCCAACAAACCATCTGTGTTGATGAAATGTGCCAGACTAATATCCCTGGAGACCAAAGTCCTCTATTTAGCACAGATCACAAGGAGCAATGCAAACTTCCCCACTAACTTTTATCAGCTCGCTTCCAGATAGGTCAGTTTCCATGTACATTCAATTCTTGACCTCTATGATAAGTGCCAAAAAAAGGATAGATTAGTTCCAGATATGGTGACCTCTGTGAAGAAATGTATGTCCATGGGCAACCTGACTGAGGCCACCACCTCATTTCACATAGTCGCCACCACACAGTATCAAATTAGAAGAACTTTCACTGACCATATTGACTTAGACTGGATTCAAACCTACATTTTAGAGGCGAGGGCTCCATAGTCTCCCCAACAGAGCCTACAGTCTCTGCAGGCTCCTGGGTAAAGTGGGGGGGACCCGATCTGCACTCCTGAAAGGGATGAGGCCTCAGGTGGAAGGGGCAGAATGGGGGCAGCCATCCCTCAGCACTGCTAGGAGCATGGTGCTGACCTCCCCACCCCATCTTCAGAGCTATGCAAAGTTGTGCTCCTGCAGCAATTAAAAGGGTGTAAGGCTCTGACCGCCACCGCTGCCCTAGTAGTGGTGGTGGCCGGGAGCCTTGGGACCCTTTGAATCACTGGATCTGATTCTCCCCTCCCCAGCCCATCCCACCCCACCCCTTTGGGCTATGCAGTCCCACTGAGCTTCATTTCTTTTCCTTCTTTGTGTCTCTCTTTTTGTTTTGTTTTCCCTGCCTCCCTGATTCTTAGCCACCCCTTTTTATTTCTGGTGTGAAGTGCAAAGCTTTTGGCTAGCTCTCTAAGCAATTTTATTTTTTGTGTCTCATGTAATGCATGGTGGATGTGGAGGTGGTGGTCTTTTCTGTCTGAGTTACAGCTCCCGCCATGGAGTTGTCTGTGCTGTAACTATTCATGGTGCTAAGAATGCTCTTCTTCATTCAAGTCAGCATAGCTTTCTCTGGAGCCAAGAAGTGTAAGGCCTTGTGGAAATAATAGAAGGTGACAGTTCCTGAGCTGATAAATGTCATTCCAAATTTCCCCTTCATTCACATTCATTGTGTGTTCAGGCTAATGGTAAATTAATTGGAGGTCAGAAAAGCTTAGTTCTGATACAGGAGAACTAGTGGACTATTTTGAGCTATTATACGTATTTACAGCATGATGTTACTTTACCATTCAGAGTTCGTAATATTTTATCTATCTTATTTCAAAAGGCCTATTGAGCCCATATGCAGACTGAAATGCTATTACAAATCTGGTTTGAGAGTTTTAAAATTCTGAATCAGATCCTTAAGATCTGGTAAAAAATGTTTTGGGATTTGGGGATAGCATATAATGGTTTTGAACATGAAGATCAAAAATAGAACCCTCCCTCAACATTCAATGGGACACACTGTCCATTCCTTACTTGCAGACCTGTATTTCTTTTCTCAGGCCCAGAGAGCCTACTATCAACTCCCCCAGTTTAAACTGGAAAGAGCTGCATTTACTTCTTTATTGATTTACACCTGGGTAACTGAGAGGAGAATTTGGCGTTTCATTATCATCATTTCTTCTTATCATTATTTTTAACAAACACAGTTGCAGCTAGTATGTTGCCATTGTAAAGAATTAAGAGGCCTGATTTTCATGTATACCGAGGGGCCTTTACACCACTCTGTCAGTGTAAATGGTCCTCTTGTAAATCAAAATGAGACCCAATGTGACCAATCCAGGTAGATAGTGCCTTTGGAGGTCGGACAGAGATTATTTTTAGATGGATGAAAGAGTCTAGCATGACTCCTGATACTTACTTTTATTAGAGGAAATCCAAAATCTGATATTGATTGTTCCCTGCACAGCCCCCTATCCCCCACCCATGCAGAAATATTCTGACACAACTGATAAGAACAGGCCAATTTTTTTTCAAGAGTTAAAGTCAAACATTTATTTATTTATTCAGCCCAAACAATTAATGCTTCAAACATAAGACATTAAGACCTAAAAGTCTTGTGGTAATATAAACACAGATGTGATGAAAGTGAAGTATGATCTCGATTAAAGGTTATGAAATGTTTCCTTTAAAAAGTGACATATTTGGCTAACAAAACAAAACAAAAAATTAAGAAATAAATGCGGAGAGCAAAGCAGAAGCAAAAACATATCACTAAGGCTGCTGAAAGAAACTATGTTCAGCAGAACCAATGCATTGTAATGGAGATTTCAGTCCCATATGCCATGGTAATAGCAGCAGCATATTCTTTCAAACAACCTTAGTGGTTTGCTTTCCTTGGTTGAAAGATCATCATAAACCACACCAAAGAGGAACCCAAAACCTCATTAACTTTGGGACTATGGGGAGGTCAGATCCTAGATCTGATCCAAGTTTTTACAGCTGGTTTCTACTAGGGATGTTAGATATCGGGTAACTGAATAGTTGAGTAACCGCATGAAATCTTAGTGGTTACACAACTAGTTGACAGTCCCCAGGGGCAGGGCCGGCAGCCAGTGAGCTGCTGGCCCCACTCCTGGGGACCCCCTGCTACCCTGCACTGCTGCCTCTGGGCTGCAAGGGGAGACCGTTTAAAAAACAGCAGCATGGAGTGGCAGCAGCCCCTGTCCATGGGGGTCCAAGCTCCCTGCAGACAGAGACTGCTCCGTGGGATGTGCAGCAGCCTCTGTCCACGGGGAGCTCAGACTCCCCCTCCCCAAGATAGGGGCAGCTTCATGGCAGCCCCACCTGTTCCCAGTTTATAGATGTTTGTATTGCTCTTTGTAAATGCAAAGTGCTAATTACATTTTAAATGTTATTTACACAGGTGGGAAAACGAGGCAGACAGAGGCTAAGTGATTTGCCCTAGGTCATGATGTAATTCAATGGCAGAGTCTGGAGCAAACCCTAGGA